GATGTCCAAACAGAACAGAAGAGAGAGAAGAGAGAGAGTGAGCATGAGTCAGACAACTGATAATGATGTGCGCATGCGTGAAAATAATAATATGCAACCACAATATTATTAGTCTGTTGTACACTAAGTAAAACAATAATAATAATAATAATAATAATAATAATAATAATGACAATAATAACAATGATAATAATAATAATTGATACACAGTTTACCCTTCACTACAAACTTGCTCATTGGCTGTGTTGGATGTTGAGGAACCTGAGGCAGCAACAGGAGTAGACAGGGGAACCTGTACAGAAGGACGGGAAAGAGACAAGGGTGGAGGACTGTGACGCCGGGAAGTTGCCAAGTTCATTGAGAGGAAGAAACTGTGGTAGCCGAGGAAGGAGAAACAGCTGGGGGTGCTTGGGCTCTTTTCTTGGCAGCCAGTTTATCTTTAGCTTTCTTTTTATTCTGTTTAGCACGGGTTAGCTTTAAGATAGAAGTAGAAGAACTAGATGAGGGAGAAAGCTTGTTCTTGTCAGCCATACTTAGTCACGTGGTCATTTTCTTTTTATGATGATAGATACCGTAGGTCGGTTATTATATTCGCGGCTGCTTTCGCGGTGATAAAAACTAATAAAGAAGTTCAATTAAATACTATGGAAACAAATTGATTGTTGCTATGACAATTGACCACGTGTTTATACAATTACAGTGTTCAGCAGCTAATTAGCTACTCTTTTATTATTATTATTATTTTGAGCAGTTTGAGTAGAGCCATCCAGACTCCAGTTCTGTATCTGTTATCTTATTGTATAGATGGACCGCTACCTTCGAGTTCTTCGCTACAAAATCACTGCTGGTCGGTCGATCATGATTATAAACCACACCCAATTAATTTTAATAAAACAGTAAAAACACTAACTAGAATGGGTGGAGAGTCCCAAGACACGGCGAGGCAGAGCGAGTAGAGTATTTCTGAAAAGAACTGGCTAAAACAGCTTCAAAGAGTCCAAGGATTAGTAACATCAAGAAGAATAACAACTCAAGAACACTGCAATCGAGTGCTGTGCTTCAATAACGCGCCGTTTTCAATTAAAATAGCACCTAGTTGCTATGGCAATTGCTAGCCGCGGGAAAAAATCGCGAATATTAGCAGCCGCGAATATAACCCGACCTTCGGTATACACGTACCCAGGGGCGTAGCTGGGAAGGAAATGATGAGGGGGCCCAGAGATAAATGGCGCGCGAAGCGCGCCGAAAATT